TCGAACACCTCTTAATGAAGCCTACAAGTTTTAACGACCTTGTTGTGATGTCTGAAATATGGGTGATAAAATTGAGACTGCTGTCAAAAATGACACCAAGATCTCGTTGTTGTGAGACAGTTTCAAGCGAAATGTTGTTTATATGGTACGCGAATTGTGGAGGGCTACGACCCTTGGAGAAAACAATGGCTTTGCATTTGGAAGCATTGAGCTCCATGCGCACCACTCAGAGAGTCTGTCGAGGTCAGATTGTAGTCTGGCACAGTCTTCAATAGAAGAGACCCGGGTGAACACCTTTAAATCATCCGCAAAGCACAGGAACTCACTGTTAATAAAACAAGACTTTATATCGTTAATAAAAACGTTGAACAGCAGAGGTCCCAAGTGAGAACCCTGTGGAACGCCCGATGGGATGTCAATTTCGTGTGAGAAGAAGTTGTTAACTTTGATTATTTGAGTTCTCTCCCCAAGATAGTCGCTAATCCACTTCAACAAAGTACCGGAGATTCCAGCACTTTCAAGCTTAGCAAGCAGAACGGCATGGTTGACACGGTCAAAGGCCTTTGCAAAATCGGTATATATGGAGTGAACTGATTCGCCATCCTCAAGAATTCTTGAAACTTTGTCCTGGTAGGACAGGAGATTGGTTTCAGTTGAGCATTTTGGACGGAAACCGGTCTGCTGCTCAATTAGACAGGGATTGATTTTTGGAGTTAAAAACTTTGTCACTATGTTCTCAAATACCTTTGGGAAGGTGTTTTGGATGATAATGGGCCTGTATTTTGAAATATCCATTTTATTGCCAGATTTATGAATGGGTATGGTGAAGCTCTGCTTCCAGAGTTTAGGAAATTCACCCAAACTGAGTGACTTATTGAAAAGAATGAAAAGTGGACGGGATAATACAAAGCTTTATCATAAGAGGTGGGACACCGTCTGGACCTGGACCCTTAAAAGACTGCAGGCTACATAGTTCTTCATAAATAACTGATATTGAGATGTTAAATTCATGAATATGTGCATCGCTCCGAGAGATGTCCTGACTAGCAACACAGATTTTGTTGGAATAAACAGAATGGAAGTATTCAGCAAAGAGATTAGCTATCTCTGAACCATTTTTGGCAATGTTGCTATTATAAAACATGTGAGACGGCAAACCATTCGCTTTTCGCTTGGCATTGATAAAACTCCAGAAGTGTTTGAGGTTGTGATCATTCAGCAGTGACATTTCAGAGCGCTGCACATAATTCAGATAGGAGTCCTTTCAAAGAGTCTTACATCGAGTGCGAAGATTCGAGAAGTTGTCATAGTCACTAGGAGAGCCAGTCCGCTTCCAGGTTCTGTGTGCTTTCTTCTTGATTATGAGTTCCTTTAGGTCGAAGGGGAACCATTTAGGAAATTTATGGGTGGAAAGCTTTTTCTTTGGTACAAAGCAGTCAATAGCAGTGTAAAGAATGTCATAAAAAATACTGACCATTTCTGCTACAGTTGGGCCTTGGAGTAAAGCATCCCAGTTGATCATACTTAGATGATCATTGAGAAGTGCATACTCGGCAGATTTAAAATCATAGTAGTACTCATCAGGTTGCGAGTAGTCTGAGTTACACTGCTGGGTCTCGGCGCATAATATGTATAATATTAATGCAGGGTGATATGAATCAATAGGGAGAAGGATGTCATCTGCCAAGGTGCAGGGGTCATCAGGATCCTGACTAAACATCAGGTCTAACAGAGAGCCATGCGCATTGTGGAACTTGTTTATTTGAAACATGTTATGGTAAGCACTCATGTTGGATAGGTACTCAGTAGCTGCGCGCTCTGAGGGAATAGCGGAGGGGGTTGCAGTAGCACTTGAGCTCAGGCCGTCATCAACCCGTTGTGCTTTGGGTAAATTAAAATCCCCAAATATGCAGAGCTTGTAATCAGGAAATGTTTCAGATAAAGTATCTACTGAGTCTGAAAAACACTTATAATTATCTCCATTAGATTTCGGAGGTAGGTATACAGCTCCAAGCAATAGTTTACTATTAGCAGACTGCACTCTTACAAATAACTGCTCAATGGTTGAGGCTGAATTACAAATGGAACTGAGAATGTTATTCCGGACAGCTATTAATACACCTCCCCCCCTTAAGGATGTGCTTGTTGCTGGAGTTCGGTCACTTCTGTAAATATTGTAATTGTCCATGCCCAGTTCTACATCAAGAAAGTTATCACTCAACCACGTTTCTGTAAAAACGAGTACTTGGTATGCAACTAAAGGAATGGAACTGATTAGTTTTACCAATTTAGTACGCAAACCACGCACGTTCTGATAGTAGACTAATACAGAACTATTTAGTTTGCAAATACCTCCTGATTGACGGCTAGATTCTGAAAATTCTGGGGCGAATGAAAATCAGCACCAGGGTCATTTTTTGATGTGTCAAGTTTTTTCTTGAAGTTGAATCTACGAAAGATCACACCACTAGGCCAGAATTCGCAGGAGTTCATAGCATTGTAGTGAATGTGAATGACACCAATTTTGAAAGAATTGGTTTTCCCTATAGTTTTAAGCTGATCAATAATTAAGTTTTCCTCACTAATATTTGGCAGTTTTTGAGTTATGTACCTGCGAATTTTAGCAGCTTCCACTGACTGGGCCACCTTTCCGACGTAAAACCACATCTTGTTTCCTTTTGAAGATATAAATTCTTGATTTATTTCAACCTTTGAGGTACCACGAAACTCTTTCCTTCTACCACGATGATAACTAACTGTAGAAAAACCATCGTTGTCTCCAGCATGATTCATATTGCTTATAATTGCATTATTAATTGCCTGATTCGCGTTTGTCAGCGAAACTGTTTCAACAATTTTACTACTATGGCCATTGTTTACATTGTCGTTAGAGGTTAAGATCTCGCCCCGGGTCCCGGCGCAAGTGTCACCAGTCTTGTTCGGGTTTGGAGTCACCGAACGCTCTTGGGTTACACCAGGGCCAGAGGTCGAGTAAATAGAACTGGTAGAACGCCCGCCTGCAGGATCGCGGATAACAGTTACACTTTGGCTTTGTTTACGTTCTTTTTCTAGGTTAGAGATACGTTCCACCAAAAGACGGTTATTTTCCTTCAAAACTGTGTTCTTATCGGCCATTTCATCGATAAGCCTTTTTAGTAGACTCATTTCAGTATTTAATTTGTCGTTTTCATATTTTAGTTTTGAGGAAACATCTTTGTTTACATCTGATAAGTCAACTTTTGGCGGCAAATCACTGCAATCACAGCACTGGACACCGGACTTGCTGATAAACTTTAAGTTTTTCCTTCTTGCACAGCTACCATGGTAAACTTCTTCACACACAACACAAAAATAGGACTTGCACGACTTTTTAGCACAACATTTGTATTTTCTAACACTATCTTTGGCACTAATAACGCTATTTACGCTAGCCGAATCTGACTCAATGTCATCATCGGACGCCATCTTTCATATTATTGTAGTATTGTTTATTCATCATTTCTTGACGGAGTGAGCAGATACAAAATTCAGAAAATTCAAAACTGTTGCATACGTTTTATATATGGGCTCAGGGCTAGGGATCATGTAAGTTGCAAATTGCGGGAGCTGGGTTGGCTCAATATACAGGATAGGGCTAAGCTTCACCTAGCTTGTTTTGTTTGGAAGATACTGCGTTGTGGGGTTCCTGAGTATATAAGAAGTAAATTGTGCTTCAGAAATGAGGTGCACAACCGCGATACAAGATATTCTACATGTTTCAGTGTTCCCAAACATAAGACGGCACTATTCCAGCGTTCATTTTCTTGCTCGGTTCCAAGGCTGTTTAATGGTGGCACATGGGGTAGGTTTGACGAAATGTCCTCTCTTCAGGGGTTTCAACTTGCTTTTAGGAGAAAGTTGCTAAGTCGGTATTGACATGACTGTGTTTTTTCTCTATTTTTATTTTTATTTTTTCATCTCTGTTTCAATTTTACTATAAATACTTATGAATAAGGTAAATAATTGTAACAATGTTATTGTAATTTGAACTTGAATGCTCGGTTAAGTGAACAGCTATGGTGCCCTTCGCCGAGTGAAAAATAAAGGCCATTTATTATTATTATTATTATTATTATTATTATTATTTAGCTGAAAAACTAACTGTTATTAATTAAATTTTCATAGTCACCAAATCGAGATGTTTTACTCCTGCGCAGTACGTTAGCTACCTGTTTTCGCAACTTTCGAAGAGAAAAAAGTTGGGCGTCTCGGTGAAATGAAGCTGCATTGAAAAAACTAGCTTGTTATTAATGATTTGGAAAAAAGGTCCTCGGCCCCCGGACTACATGTAATTCATAACGCTTAAGACGCGTATTCAGAAAAGTTTTAGAAAACTGCACAAAATGTCACAGAGTTAATGGTCGACATTTCACCCATTTAAATAAAAATCTGTGATTTTTGCTGAAAGATTAATTTTACATACATACCGATTTTAGTATTAAATTTACATATTTCTTGTTTTTTTTTTTTCACTTCACTATACCTTACTTCATTTCCCCTTACTTCTTTTTTCTTTGCCAGAAGACTTCAAAAATACTGATTCTAACTGTATTTTGAAGGACATGCAAAACGTTTTCATAAATTTCATAGCTTGTAATACATCATTTTGAAGGATTTTTTGCGCAGAATATTATCTTGTTGAAATCGAAGATGGCCGCATTAGGAAATGGGAAACTTTGGTAATAACTCGAAAGCAAAAAAATCACGAAAATATCCGTCTCAAAAATGTTGAAGTTAGAAAAGTTTAAAATCAATGGTTCATGAATTATTGACAAAAAAAAAATTGGCTATAAATGAGCAATAAACTCCCTAAAACTTTCCTAATTTGAGCCACCCTGTAGCTCTCATAATAAGCGATGAGATCCCCATATTAGAGACTCGAATTTCGAATACACTGTATGTTTTAGAAGTTCAGTAAATAACCACTTTGAAGAAAGCAATAGCAAATGATGGTATCTTACCCTATAGGAATTGGTGCACTAGTTTGTCCAAATCTTGAAATCCGACTGAAACTATAATTCGGGCTATTCTCTGGAGAATCTTCAGGCGATAAATTATTTAACGGAGTGCTTTCGATAACACTCGGCATACCAATCATAATTTTCTCCTCCTCGATTACCGATATTATTTTGGCATCTTCAACGATTATTTGATTTTTAATATCATCCGGTGTCGGTGTAGTTGACGAGTTCGGAGTGGAGTTTTTACTAGCGGCCGATTCGTTTCGAGAATGCGGCCTAAAACCAGGACCAGGAGGGAGATTCTTCTGAACGCAACAGTTCACACCTGGACTGAAATGAAGCTCGATATGGAAACGTTCCTCGCTGCATGGATCTTTTGTAGGGTCTTCATATAACATGATTACTATTTGGGACATGTAATTCAGCTCAGAAACCATTGAAACGTATTCCATTGCTCGGCGCCATTGTTCATCTTTAACGAGCTGAAATAAATCATTATCAATAAATATGCAAAATTGATTTAGGCCCGGTTTGTTCATCTTCAAATAAACTTGCTGGTAACTATCTGCAAGATAAATTTACCGTTCTATAATTCTATTGGTCAGCGGATAACTGGCTGACCAATGGGATTACAAATTGCGTTTTTATCTCTCAGATTGCATAGTTGACAGTTTATCAGAAGGTGAATAGATCGGCCCTTAGTAATAAAACTTACATCGAGTAATCCCCCATGCCTTAACACAGTTATAAGAGAGTGTATATGACTCTCACTTGTAAAATACAATCGTGTTCTAACGTGACGTCCTGGACTGGATACACCATGAGAATATCTAGGATTTAATCGATTTACAGTCTCTTCACTTTCTTCTATGTTCCTCTGAAGATCAGCTTTAATTTTTTTCAACAGTGGCGTGCAAATTCCTTGACCTATAGTCAATTTCTCCTGTGCAGTTAAACCATATTCTTGAGGTATGACAATATCAGCCAAATATTTAGCATAAATATACAGTTCTTCAGCTTGCTCAAATTGTATTGTGTGTTGATTATGTTGCAAATCATATTTAATGCAATCGTAAATGTCCGGTATTTTACTGATGTCAAAAGTTTTATTTTTTGTGTAGAAATCTTTTTCGATTTTGCCCCATCTTCTGTACATAAGATCCCACGATTCGCCATGATACAGGATTGCTTCTAAAAAATATTAAACATTTTTAGATATCAAAAAATTAAGGATATTTTTAACACGTTAGTTGACCAACCTTTGGTCTTACCATCTTCTTTCTTAACTTGCACAATTTCCATAAGCGATTTGATAAGTTCGTGGACGTGCTTCGAACATTTATATGGATTTTTAACAAAATCCATTGCTTCATTAATACTAGCCGAATTGCAAGGATTAATTTTTTCCCTATCATTTTCAGTAAAGTCACGATCAATTTGCATTAATTCGTGTAATCTAGCTTTACACCTATAAGAAAAACCTGTATTAACTTTTCTAGGGATCCCATCAAATCGCACTTACATATTTTGATATTTGCTGCTATCACAGTCGTTATCTAATAGGCCGTTCGTATTTGCGCTTTTTACCATTTGCACTAAAATTGGCGTGAGTTCGCCCTCTAGCGCTAATAGGCCCTTGGCAAAGGCTGCAGCTGTCATTTGCACTCTGCCCTCATCCGAGGCGTAGATTTTCAAATCGTGACGAAACGTTGAGTGCAGACGAAGTAGTCCCAGGCCCTGGGCTCCAGCATATTCACCTAAATAACATAGCAAAATTGTAGTAAATGTTTGCAATTTGTTATTTCAAGAGTAATAATTGCAGATTATTGAAACAGAAAACCAAACTACTGAATTTCAATGTAAGATGGACCGAAAGCAGATCCACACCATCTTGCAGTTTCTTCACACTACTTCAAACTTTGTCTCAATGAAATTTAGTATTAGAGTATCCAAACGATGGGATTTTGCCAACCTGCCCGGATCACGAACCCACAATTCGATAGTATCGTCCATGTAATTTATATGGACGATACTATCGAATTGTGGGTTCGTGATCCGGGGCGGTTAGCTTGCCTTTTTATTTATTTTTGCCAATTAGTACAAAAAAAGAAAAAATACAGAGAAAAATACTCTAAATAGTAGTGAGAAAAATACAACCGTCTCCTAAAATTATCGACATACATGTCCAAGTTGTCTAATTATTACTATCATACAATTATTATTAGTATGTTTTTTATTGTTGTTTAGTGCTCAGTTGAAGCACCCTAGTGATATAAATCTCAAAAGTCAAAATGGAATTTTATAGCTCAATAATCCAGTGAAATCGAAACGAATTATCTGAACAATTTTAGAAACAACAACGGGCTATAAAATGGAGTCTGCCATCAAGAAAAAGTCAGGGATAAATTAGACGCTAGAGTGTCAAGATTCAGTTAATGGTGAATTGAACGCGAATAAGGTAATAATCAGGTAAGACAGTGACTTGTGATTCAGTTTTGTGACTAGTTAAGCTTTATTGTAGTTAAACAAAGTGTTGTTGTAATTTTGACAGTCACTGCAAGACAGAGCAGTTAAAGAAGGAGAGTTGTGCCCAAACTGTCTAAAACATGAAGCCAATAGTCGCTGTCTCTCCACAGATCGATGTCGCAAGGAAAATTCCATCATACCCTGTTGCACAAAGAAACTGGATATCGGCAAGATCAGCGAAATCAAAACAGAGATTCTCAGAACTCTCGGCATAGTAACTCTGCAAATCATTGCCAAAGATAAGACGAGATGGTATTGTTAGCCACCGCAATGGTTCGGATAGCGGTCGTAGCGGAACAAATCAACACATACGTTTACTAGTAGATTCTGGTTCTCAGTCAACTTTCATAACTGAGGAAGCTGCCACAATTTTAGCAATTCCGACACAACGCATTCAGGCTGATTACTGGGGTAGGGGGAGGTGAGCCTCTCACGGCCAACTGGCAAATGAAAGCAACAATTAGGCCTCGTTTCGCAAGTAACTCTATACTTCAAATCCTATGTATAGTATCACCAAGGTTAACAAGATCACTGCCTGCAAAACAATTCAACGTAGAATATTATCAATGGGAAAAAATTTATTCTAGCAGATCCGACATTTTCTAAGCCAAGACCAGTAGATATTATCCTGGGAGCTAAAGAATATGGAGACATAATTTTGGAAGGTATTTACAAGAAGAAAAATGGACTACTTGCACAAAATACAGAATTAAGTTGGATCGTCTCTGGAACCATGACTGCGCGCGCAGGGTCGAAACCACAGGTGCATAGCATGACAACGCTAATTGAAGAAGACAAGCAACTTACTGGGTTCTAGGTTCTGGGAAATAGAGGAGATAACACAATAAAGACACTTGAATAAAGATGATCAATACTGTGAGGGGGAACACTATGAAGCAAATACTATAAGAAACCCTGACGGCACATACACTATAAGACTATTATTTACGCAAAAAATTGAAGCCCTAGGACTATCAAAACAACGGGCTGCAGCGAGATTACTGCGGCTTGAAAAACGATTAACAAGCAATAAAGAACTAAATATAAACTAAAAGGCGTTTATGGAAGAATATGAAGAATTAGACCATATGTCCTTGGTACCGGCATCAGAAGCAGCTGCTAAATATTATATCTCACCAACCAGTGCCATCAAGCCCTACAACCAAACTAAGAGTGGTGTTTGACGCTTCTTCTAAAACATCAACTGGTATAAGTCTGAACAACACTATACCAACTGAACTAAGACTTCAACAGGAGCTCTCAAGTCTCAGACATCCTACTACGCTGGAGATATCACAGAATAGTAAGTTGCAGCGATGTAGAAAAAAATGTACCGTCAGATTGAGGTACATCCAGAAGACCAAACGTTCCAGACAATTTTATGGATATATAATATGAGGCAAGCAATACAGGAATACCGATTAAAAACACTCACGTACGGAACCACTGCTGCTCCATATTTAGCCATAAAAACCATGCAGCGTTTAGCAAAAGATGAGGAATCAAGGTACCCGAAGGCATCCAAGATTTGATTTCTATGTCGACGACCTATTGTCAGGAGCCGATACCATTAAGGACGCAATACAGCTTCAAACTCAGCTCACTGAATTGTTTCTGGATGGAGGATTCGTCTTTAGAAAATGGTCATCAAATAGCATGGAAGTTTTGCAGTCGATCCCAAAAAAAATGAGACATCAGAGTATGATGGACATAACTGAGGATCAGACAAAAAAGTAACTTGGCATTCATTGAGCACCTCGTGAAGATACGTCCCATTTTATAGTAGATATATCACAATTCACAAAGATAACAAAGAAAAGGATTTCATCCGAAGTATCGTCGCTATTCGATCAACTTGGGTGGATTGCCCCGGTAACCATAAAGGCGAAGCTTCTAATACAAGATCTATGGCTACAAAAGTTAGGTTGGGATGATGAGCTACCGGAAAAAATACAGTTGAAGTGGAAAACATTCCAAGAAGAATTGAAAAACGTAGACAAAATCGTGATACCACGATGGACTAACCAAATTCCTGGGCACTTTGAACTACATGGATTCTGTGATGCATCGATGCATCTGGAAAAGCATATGGCGCAGTGGTATATATGAAAATACTAGCAACTAATACAGAAAATGTCAAAATTACGTTATCACCTGCCCATTGTAGCTAACAGTGTAGCTCAAATCAATGATCTTATAGCAGAAGACTACTGGAGGCATATCAGATCTGAACACAACCCAGCAGATATCGTCTCAAGAGGAAAAGAACCGTCTAAACTAATAAGTCAAATGATGTGGTGGGAAGGTCCACCATGGCTAAAGTCAAATATGACCGAGCTGGCAGAAAGCGAAACAACAATCGATCCAAAACCAGAAATCAACGCATTTTATTAAACAGGTTTAAGTTCTTTGTGATAAGGCAAGGGAATTAACGTCAAACACACAATGTTCATCGTTTATTGACCACTTAAAGGAGAAGCAGAGACAAATGGAATCAGTGAGCCGAGGAATGAAAACCATAAGTAGAAAATGGAAATAGACGCAAGCGAGGATTAGTGGGAAAAATACTAACATCTTTATTTGGGATTAATGATGCGTCAAAAAGGGTGCGTCAAAAAAATGCAGCAGGAGGTGGTGATATTTATAATAGATCACCCTGTACAAAACATACCAACGTGTTGAATATTTATCTGCTAAGCACATATAAGATAGTATTAAATTACATAGACGACGTCTTAAATCATCACCAACGTCTGCTGGAAGTACATTATCATCGAAATCATTTGTTTGAATTAATATCCCCCATCTAGATTGAAAACGCAATATTAGATATATCTAAGAGATTATCTTCAAACATACAAATTCGATCCTTCCCACTAGTGGAAACAAGAATTCATCATAGTAAAAACTTCATACATGTTTTTGGATATTTTATTATGACAGAAGTACACAATTTTCTTCTAATAAAGGCTATTCCAATACTGTTTAATGTGACGAATGACTTATATTTAGTGATGGATATTCCGAACGAAAGATTAGCTATCAATTATAATACTCAGTTATATTTCCAACTCAGTGAAGAAGAATTTAAAAGTTGTAGAAATATTAAAGAAGAGGTGTGTGTATGTCTGCTTTCCTGTTTCAATAAAAACCATTGATACAAGTCCACATTGTGTTTTAGATAAAATTCAGCAACGCACAGAAAACACAACATGTCCTATCCATGATATCTCCTCGCAATCAATGACATGGAAACAATTATTAAGTACGCCTAACGCTTGGTTGTTTGTGACACCTACGAAGGTAAAAATGGCTATAATTTGTGATAGTGTCCGAGAAGAGATAACAGTTAACTGTACAGCAATAATAGAAATTCCGCAAAGCTGCATAATTGAAACTAATGAGAATATATTATCATTCCTGGAAAAATTAGAGCTGGCAAGAGTACTTAACAATGACTTTTGCCCAGCCCGAATAGCGACCATTGATTCACTTAGCATTACGAGCTACAGACCTCAACACAAGTAAAAAGAACCTGTAATTACTGCATTTGACAGCTTAGAAGGGTTGAAGGAAGAAGAAGAACAAATCCATGAACTACTAGAAGACGAAAATTGGGCAAATTTTTGGCATCACATGTTAATTGGCAGCACAACAGCGTTTTCTGTAACAACAGTAGCTCCTGCTGTATGTGTGAATTATTTTTTATACCAACGCTACAAAAATAATAACCACCCTCAACGACCTCAACATAGGAATTCCATGGATAATGGCATTCCATTACAACTGCTTTTTTGGAATATTCAATATAATCCAAGTTACGATTCTCCTACGCGATGGAATCTGTTGAGTTAGCAGCATCGGCAGTACCGACTAAAACCAGGTCAGTGGTTAACCTGCAGCAAATGGGGACTAAGCATAAAAATACTAATTGTATATGGAGTTTTTGTATTGATTAGTTCAATATAAATAGCTGTAATTGTAGTATATTGGATAACTGCTCTTAGCATTTCATAGTTTTTATATTGTCATGTCAGGTTTTTGTCATTATTTTTATCAAGGTATATTTTTATTATATTCTATTTCTTTATCTTATCTTCACTAGTTACTAGCCATGGTTACTGGTTGTTAAAAAATAAACTTGGATAATTTTCCTATGATTATTCCAGAAATCCTCTTTGTTTGAATTCCCAGTTATCACATTTTTGGCGACGAGAGAAAAAAATATTAT